GGGTTGCAATACATTTGGAGAAGGTTGTGAACGGCAAAAAAAAATGTCAATGGTGTTGTTCACTGGGATGTCAGACACGAGTCGAACCCCGGACTGCTTCATATTAAGTCCTTGATCATGAATCTAGGATCTCAATTAAGGTGCGTCGTCAAATGGCATAAAAAATGCACCTCAGTACGCGATCTGTTCAGACAGGGGGAGTCGAACCCCGGACTGCCTCATTAATTTCATTGCAATAGATATAATGTCTGAGGCGGTGTTCCGTACACCATGTCTGACTGGAAGCCCTTGATTTGAAGCCCTTCATGCTAGCATCTAAATTAGGTTCCTTCGCCAGTTTCTGTGGGTTTGGGAACTGTTAATGCTGACAGACATGGAGTGTTAATGCAGAGATAGATGGAAATTAGGAGTCTGGGAGTCTGAGTATACTCGGAGACTCGGGGACCGGCAAACGGGGAAAAAAGATCGTCATCTACACTTCTAATTCAGACACGGGGAGTCGAACCCCGGACTGCCTCATACCTGGCATTGGATTCAACAATTCATGAGGCCGTGTTCCATGCACTATGGTCTGACTGAAAACCATTCCTTTGAAGCCTCCCTATCCTACTCTCTGAATGCTGTTTGACTAGGAGTTGCCCGCCGCCTAGTGTAAGAGCGAAGCGATCCCCAACGGTGATAACGTTGGAGGCAAGCATTATGTATGTCCTTGCAACCGGGTGAGTCGATGCTAAGACATTGGACAGAAAAAGGATCGGGAAAATCATGTATTCAGACACAGGGAATCGATCCCCGGAGTGCCTCACCTGCGCACGAAGTGGCAAATATTGGGAGGCAATGTTCTATACACCACGTCTGAAAAAACTTCATTTGAATCCTCATTAACCCGTCTTCTAACTCCCCCCAGAGGCAACTCCCCGGCGAGAGAACGTGAGAACGTGACATTCAAACAGAATACGCGCCCTGAGACCGAATGGTTCAATCCTAGGAAATCGGACGAAAAAAGGAATACTATGGCTGCACCCGCCTATTCAGACACTGGGAGCTGAGCCCCGGACAATCTCATAACCATGATCTTTGCAGTAGTTTATGAGGCCGTGTTCCGTACATCGCGTCTGGCTCAGTTGCCTACTTTAAAAGCTCTTTATCCAATTAACTTCCGCCCAACCGCAATTCATGCCGTGCATGGGCCAAGCAATGCAAGAGATTTTGAGGTTGGACGCAAGGAATTTGAGTCCGGCTGTAGGATGGTATGCTGGAAAGGAAGAAAAAACCGTCCAGAATGCGCAAATCAGACGCAGGGAGTCGAGCCCCGGATTGCCTCATAACTGGTCTTGGCAAGTGCGTAATTTATGAGGCAATGTTCCATACACCATGTCTGACGGGAAACCCTTGAATTGACGTCTTTTATCCTAGCATCTAAATTCCGTTCAGTTGCAATTCCCCGGCCCGTGGTGCCAGAGCGAAGCAATGCCGCCCAATTTTGGCCTTGGACGGAATGAATTTGCGCCCTGAGGAAGGCGGGTAAATTCTGAGAACTTGAACAGAGAAAAAGAGTTGGTGAATCGACTATATCAGCCACGGGGAGTCGAACGCCGGACTACCTCATACATATCTCCGCAAACGTCCACTTTCTGAGGCGGTGGTCTGTACACCACGTCTGACTGAAAAGGTTCGTTAGAATGCTCTATATCTTACCACCTGGACTCCGCCCGGGGGCAAAACACCGCCTGACAGCGCAAGAGCGAGGTAATCCCGCACAGTTGGGACGTTGAAGGTCAGAAATTACATCTCCTATATGTGGGTCAATGCCATCCTAGGACATTGTAAAGGGGAGGGAGTGAGTCTCGTCGATCTCAACGCTCGTCACTAGTTGCGGCCAGCGCATGGCAGCTTATCAATCCCGCCCTTCTGTTCGACATTGGGTGATGCCCAAATGCCATGGATGCCACGATTTAGCTTAATAGGTGGAAAATGTGCCAGGTGAGCCTGCGACGACCGTCCACACTGCGAAGCCCCGTTAAATCGCGCATCCAGCGGCTGGCTGCAACCTCACCAAGGACACATCGTCCGGATGGCTCACTTGGACTCATCGTGCGTCGTATCTCACTTGTTACGAATGCGCAAGTCTGACGGAAGAAAAAAAGGCCTAATGAAAGTCCTCCTCTGAGCATCGAATATCTAGCGTCCTACAAAAATGAACCCATTCCTCCCTCCGACGCTCTGATCGCCCGACCGTGGCTCCTCAGCGCGGAAGCGGAACTAGCGCGCATCGACAATGAAATTCGCCTCGAGGCGCGCCGCAATGATCTGCTAGCTTCTGCACAGGTGTACCGTGCTGCCTTGGCCCCCCCATAAAGTCCTCCCCGACGACGCTCTCCGCGAGATTTTCCTTTGGGCAGCTCTCACTCCGTCACCCACAGCGGATTTTGACAAGAACGTGGAAAGTCTGATGGGCAACATACGCCAGGATGAAAGTCATGGAATGCAGTGTGTTGAATCGCATAGAAAATCTGCTGCGCTAGGCACGAAGGCACAGAAACGCGTGGAGGAAAGCGAGCACGAGAACCGCGCATCAGGGCGCGAGAAGACCGAGGATACGAGCGCGCGAGGTCGAGCGTAACGCCGACACAGCGCACAGCTCCGCGCGCGGGAGCCGCGAACGGCGCGGGGGGATAAGCATAGCGTACGTGGGGAGGCGCACAGCGCGCAGCTCGGCAGCGGGCACGAACGCACAGAAACGCGCCCCAGCTCTGCGACCCGTGCGCTGCGCAGCGCCGCGGCGCGAGAACCGCGAACGGCGAACAGTGCGCTGGCCGCGCACAGCGCAAAATGCGTAACGCACGCGCAGCGCGCGGCGCCGTGGCGGGCATGAAGGCAAGAAACGCGCGACAGCCCTTGCTCCGCGCGGGAGACCCGCGAGCGGTGTGCTGGAATAAGCATAGCGGGGACGCGCAGCGCATAGTGCACAAAGCACAGCGCACAGGCCGCTGGGACGCGGCGGGCACGAAGGGAGGAAAGCGCGCTGGCTCCGCAGGCCACCCCGACTCTCGGCGCGCGCGAGGTGCGGCGCACGAATAATGATCGCACTTCACACGCGGATTCCAAATGCCCGCCTCCCCTTCCTCTCTCTCTCAAAAAAAACAGAAGAAGCAAAAGAGACAAAAAAAGCGAAGGAAACAGCGCACAACGGAAAACGCACTATACAGCACCGAGCCGTCGGCTCAATCTCTCGAGCCGCGCGCGAGGAGCGCCTTCGCCACCGCATCCGGCTCCGGTGCATCTCCATCACCCCCACCCAGCATGAAAGGTGTACCCGTGCCGGGAGTGAGGAGCGGCGTTGCGGGCGTCTTGAGCGTCGGGACGTGCGGGTTTGCATTTCCAGCGGGAGAGTGTTGAAACGAGGAGGATTTCGCATCAGCGGGGGACGTACATTTCGAGGGAGAGGAGGCGGAGGCGGACGCGGTCGTGACGAAGCGCGAGATGACCCAGATCTGTGGGGCGTGTCAGCGTGTTAGCGCGCGCGACGAAAACCAATCGAGGCCGAAGACAAGTCGAGGGAGGCAGGGGGATTGGGGAATGAATGGGAAGAGGCACGCACCCACTTTTCGTCCCACGCGCCGATGAACGCGCGGAGCTCGGAGCGCGACAGCATCGGGATCTCCCGGATGAAGTCGTAGTGCGTCGTTGGTGCGAGACTTGGTTAGTGTGAACGACTAGTTTAGCGGAGATGAGGAAAGAGGGTCGGGAGGAGATGACGGACAGACGCAGACCCACCGGCGAGGAGTACCCAGCCGACGCAGCGGAAGAAGTTGGGGAAGGTCGCGAGCGCGAGGCGGAAGCGCGCGGCGTCGACGGTCATCTATCCATAGACGCGCGTTAAAAGAGTCGAGAGGAAGAGAAGCGGAAGACGCACCTTCGCGTACATAGCTCGAGTTGCTCATGCGCAAATTAAAATCGCTGTCATCAAAGCCCCCTCCCCGTCAGCGCACCATCCAATCAAAAAGGACGGGAAGCATGCACTGACCCCAGACGCGTAGTTCCACACCTTTCGGAACGGATGCAAGCCCACGGACATGCGCGCCTCGTGCCGCGCCTCGAGCGCCACCGCCCGCTTCTTCGCGCTAGAGAAAACGTGCCATAGCCACACAAGGCGGAAGGCGACATGCGCGGAGATGACGGAGGAGAATACGCGGACTATAAGGCATTTTGCGACGACCTAACGTGAGGAGAAGAGGGGCGTACGGTGCCAGACGAGTGGCCACGAGCGGGCGCAGAAGAGGAACAGGACCACGACGGCCTTGGCCGCTGTCGGCGCGAGGTAGCGCTCGGTCCAGGGCTTGCTGCGCTAGAGCGAGCATCGTCGTGGGCGTTAGGTGGGAAGGCAAGCGCGTGGAAGGCATTGCCTTTAAAGCAAGCGAGCTGGACGCGTCGCTTGGGGTGACAGCGGAGATGGAAGCCGGAAAGCGTTTGTTGGGGCGGCTGTTTGCGCGCGCTTGCCATCCCGCCCCCTCGGCTTCGCGGCATGTTCGCGCGGCATGTGCAGGTTCCTGCGGCTCCGCGGGAGCGAGTGTGTAAATACGAAGGCAAGGCTGAATCATTCTTGCATCCTGGATCAATGGGCACTGGCTCCAATTTTCGCAAGTTCTGCGCTGTGAATTGATTTAGCCAAGCTAAAACTTCGTGATTTCCCCAAAGTTTGAACCCTAAATATTGCCAACTTGTCATTTCTTGGCCGCCCGGATTGTTCGTAAGGAGCATTGATAAGAGTCTGTGCTTCCATCCGAAATCCCCCCTCCCGTTACTTCTTTTTTCGGGGGGCGGGTGTTCCTGTTAACGCGTTCAAAATTTTAATCCATCCTAAAAAAAGGCATTTATAACTCCACTCCGAGGTCTACACCACTCTCCCGTTCGCCTGGGAAATTATCCAGTTCGCATCAATATGCCTGGAGATTCAGAGCGCCGGAAATGGACAAAAAATATTCTCAGTACGCGACCAGTTCAGACACGGGGAGTCGAACCCCGGGCTGCTTCATAACTAAGGTGACCGGCTTCTCAATTTATGAGGCGGTGTTCCATACACCATGTCTGACTGACCACCCTTGATTTGGATCCTCCTTATACTACCATCTCGTTGAGGTCTCGTCGTCGAATTCCCCGGGTCCGGGAATTGTCAAGGCCGTCGGGGCGCAGGATTCAATCAGGTTGGAAGACTGAACCCGCCGGTCCTGGAAAAATCACATCAACTCGCGGTCAGTTCAGACAGGGGAGACGAACCCCGAACTGCCTCATAACCCCTGCGCAGTATATTCAATTCCTGAGGCCGTGTTCCGTACACCATCTCTGACTGAAACCCTTGATTGGAAATCGAAGACCGTCGGTGAATGGCATAAAAATTCCCCATCGCTTGAGGTCTAGTTCAGACACGGGGAGTCGAACCACGAACTGCCTCATTGGCCCAAACATATTTTATATCTGATGAAGCGATGCTCCGTACACCATGCCTGACTGAAAACTCTTCCTATAAAAGCTCATTATCTACTATTTTCAACCACTTACCTCATACAAAAATCAATGGCATGACGTAAATTTTTCGTGATCTCCGTCCAGCAGCTGAGTCATCGCCGATTTTGGCGGGAACAAGCTCCCTCTGGGGGTACTCAAACGACCTTCCATCGCATTTGAACATGATCGGCCTACAGACTCATGGGAGCGGAGTCGTCATGTATCAGTGAGGGATTAGCTGTACATCACAAGGATGAGCGGTATATCTCGGGAAACTCCGGCATCTCGACGTGCGGCGGGATGATATCAGATGAAACTTTGACCTGTCTGTATGTAGGATTATTGGCACAAAAACTGCTTCCCCGGGTCTGTGCCCGTTCAAAAAGAAAATTTAAATTGACCCATGGCAGGAAGTTGGATGCATCATGTAAGCCTGCCTTTGCTGGCCGGAGAAGCAGAAATATTAATGAATGCGGGGTGCGGGGAATATCAGGCTACAGCGGGAATCAGCAACAACCCCCGCAGTTGCTCCCCATGGCAGCTGCGCAAGCCACTTAAGGTTCAGTACTGCTCTACCCCGCTGTTTTGAAGAGCGCAATTGGAGAACACTGCTCGGATCATGCTCGGCATATGCATCGGCTTGGGCGGTGTATTGATCCGGGCCATCAACCTCTTCTCTCTTCCGGCTCGAACTAGCTTTCCGACCATGAGCACGAAGTGAACGTCCGGTGCGCTAGGCCCTGCATACACCTTGGCTCAGAGTGGCAGTTCTGATCATCCCCCGAGCATTTCATCGGTCAAAATAAACCTCCCAACACCTGTTGAGCAAATACCCGCAGTTTCCTGGGGTCGGGTGATTTGCATTTGCAGGTGATGTCGACGCCGACTTTCTTTGTGCACGCGAATCTGCATCTTTCACATAAAGGCAGATTTCATGTGTATTCCGAGACCGAAAACTCCGGGTCCATTGCTATTTATCAACCACACATCAGTAGTTCCCTGTCTACATACCGGTAATCTGAAAACACCACGGAAACTCACCAGAAACTATACATATGGGAACAAAATTAAGAGCTGGTTTTTTTATAAACCTCCCAGACTTTCCCCAAACATCCACAGTTTCTGGAAGAGCGGTCCCTGCGAGATCTAGGAGGGAACAATTGCTGTCTTGAATTGACTATTAAAACTAAACACTCAGTTGAATCCAATAAATATATATAGAACACAACAACTACATATTTGCCTACTCATTTCACAATAAATTACATCCTAGCAAACCTCAGAACAACATGGAAACTAAGAAAACAGGAAGATGGTGTAACACAGATAGGGGTTGGGTATAGGGCATGTAGAACATCAGAGCCTTACTGCTACTCCAATAAATTATATACCAGCAACTCTGAAAGCAAGGCAGGGACTAAAGAGAGAACAAGTCCATGCCATAACACAGTTAGGCTGGAATCAAAGAAGGCTTCATTTCATCCTCGGTGTCCGGACACGTCTTTGGTTCATTGACAGCTAAGAGTTGAACCATGGGCTCAGGATGGTCTTCTGATATATTTCTCACTCTAGCAAGTCGCTCATCAAGATGGGCAACTTGCTTCACCTGTGAGGATCGTTCGAACAAGGGTCTTGCTGTGGTCCAAAACTCTCCTGCCTTTGAGAGGTCCTCATTCGCTTCTGCAATATCTCCAAGTCGAAGCATGCATTCTGCTCTGCTGCGATGTACATCCATCATGGTGAATCCCTCAAGAGCAACAGCAAACAGACTGATTGCTGTGTGCTGGTCATCATCTGCCAGATAAACATCTCCGAGGAATTGGAGAGCTTTGTGTATTTGCAGCTTCTGCTTTAACCTGACACTATGAACAAGAAATGTTACTGTCCAGCTGGATGAAGCATGATCTCTAGGATGCCAGAGAGAGGCATTCCCCAATTTCTCCAAACAGTAACTGACACCCTCGGGGTGTTTTCCCCACACAGACTTCAAGCATGTTTGAAAAAGGTTTTTTGCCTTCAGCAAGTCCCCTCCATGCAGATCAAGGGCTGCTGTGATCATATCACACAAAACTATTTCTATTGAAGACCCCATCCGGCTGAAAATCTGGTTGGCTGTCTCAATATTTCTGTTCACTCTGTTTATCAATGCACCAATGTCCACATCAATCTGTGCCATTGTGAGTAAAGCCATGGCATGATCGTATGGATTTTGCTCAATCGGAACAGTAAGGATCTCAGTGTGGATACCATAAGCCTCAACATATTCTGATTTCAGCAGGTGGACTTCTGCTTGGTCATGGAGGATAGAATTAGCTAGGTTGCCACCAGACAGACCACAGAGACCAAGTAGTTCTCTTGCTCTGTGGGCCAGGAGGATGCTTTGATTATAGCTTCCTAGTGTATACCAGCAGATAGATTCTATTCGCAGTGTTTGGGCCTCCACGAATAAGTTGCCTGAAATCCCAGCCAGTCTCTGTGACTCAGAAGCATGCTCTAGGCCTGCCGAATAATCACCAGTTTGCCACTTTATCCATGCCAATGTAGTTAATATTTCAGCCTGCCTTCTGGTGTTCCCAGTTGAAATTGCCAATGAGAGCCCATTCTGAGCAATGGAGATAGCTCTCGGAGCATCATGGATACCTCTGGAATAATATTCCGCAAGAACCTCATAACTCTGGCCTGGTTGGCATGGTCAGTAACTGTATAATGATATCAAATATACCACCCACATTCCAGGTCAGGATCATCAAAATGTGAGAAATATTTGGGAGCTTGGTCCACTATTTCTTGAGGAACTAGGTGGTATGTATATCCTGCTATGACCGTCATCATCCAATAGACCTCCACTCTATGGTCTCGGGGGTGAGGCAGAACCTTGGAAATCTGGTGTATTAATTGATTAAGGCCCCGTCCAGTCTGTTTGCTGAAACGATCAAAATGACATGTGCTATATATGGTTTTCACAAGGTCCGGATTATCTGGTGTGAGACCCATGACCAAGACATTCTGAATGTTGGCAAAGTTTGATGTGACTCGAGCTACAATCCCAGGACTTGAAGCAGTCCCATGATAAGTCTCATGGACTTCAAGGAGCTCACTAAAGTGTTTATGAAGAGGTTGGACCAAGGTTGCTAAGGGGGGGTGCATTTTTTGCATGTATTCCCGGATTGGCACCAATGCCTTTAGTCGTTTCTGATCATCCGTGTAAGCAAGCGAGATACAAAGTAAGGCAGATTTGCAGGCAAGGACATTTTGAATTGGGAGTTTGCTTTGCTGGAGTTCCACATCGGAAAGGCCATCAGGTAAGATTGAGAGGAGGCTCAATAAATCACGAGCATCGGGCACTGATGCCAGGCGAGGGCTGTCCAGAGACATGGAAATTGATAAGTCCAAATTTGATCCTTTGTTGGGTCCTTCTGAGAGCAGGGAGGTCCTCTCTGTCTCCCAGTGTTGCATCACACTGTCAAAGCCATCATAGTCCACCAAGTGGGCTATAAGGTCAATGGCCAATGGCATATTGTCAGCAAGGAGGAGGATTTTGTCAATGTCTTCAACAGCATAACCATCATCCACAATCTCAATGAAGGTTTTTCGAGCAGCATCCTGTGCCAGAGGCTGGAGTGGTTGTAGAAATGGATGTGTCCACCGGACACTGGCAGGCCGTTCTGCCCCACGCATTGTGATCTGAAATAATGGTCTTAGTATACCAGTAACAAACTCAGGTTTTTGCCTTACAATCAATGTGAGATGTTCAATATCTTCAAGTAGTGCCAGGAGCTTTTCAACATCGGTGCGAGATTCCTTTGGCTCCCAGACAGTCTCCAAATTGTCCAAGATCAACAGGCAAGGGGGACCATTAGAGAAATACCGAATGACTGGTTTCGTGAGATCTTGACCTAGTTGCAGTCCAACATGTGCTCCAATTAAAGCAGCAATATGAACACTGCTTGATGCTGCATCACAGGCAACAAAGAAGCGATGCTTCTCATATTTCGCAGATATTTGGGGGTGATGCAGAACAGCTCTTGCAAGGCTTGTTTTCCCCATTCCCCCTCCACCCAAAATTGCCACTCTGGGAATCTTCTGATTCAGCTGATGCATGATGATTGATACTTCAGATTCACGGCCATGGAAGATTTTTGGTTCAGATGGCAGAAATGAAAATGAGTTTGAGCTTCAGGGGATCATTATACAACCACAAAGTATTTAATGCAATCACATACCTGTTATGAGAGCTTGAAAGGACTCTGCTTATCTATTTCAAAATCAGTTACTGTACAGTTTCCATAATATAACTTGGGACATACAGAGGATCCACTTCCTGAATCTGAGAGAGCTGAGAGCAGCTCCAGAACTTCCTTGTGTGTCTTCCGTGCATGTTCCTGTATTTCCACCATATCACTCAGCACTTTAGCACCCTGAATCTGAAGTATGGCTCTTGTTAAAAACCACACTGCCACCAACAACAATGACCTTGCCTCAAACACCTCTAGAGCCTGTTCCAGTCCTGTATGACAGGCCCTTAGCAATGTCTTCATTTCACCTTGACGGAAAAAGTGCTTGATTTTGCTTTTCTCTTGCTCAGCT